GGCGACCCCCCCCCCCCCCCCACAGCTGGCATAACGGAATAGTTAGTCGTGTGGCTTTTGCGCAGGCAATGCTTTTCACTAAATATTCAAAAACGTCGGCCAAACTTGGATACTTTTTTTATACAATAGCGTAATTGTTGACAAAGATCGAACGTCGTTAGCGCTCGGGAAATCAACAAAACGATTCTATAATGCGTCTGACTGGAGTTTGTTAATCGACCAATGATGTCATCCTGCGGTTTAATAACCAAGATAAGTGGTATCAATGGCATGCGATACACGCGCTCGCGCACACACACGACGACGACGACCATTATTGATTCAATCCAAGTCGGTATTACAATTATTACTCTTTCATCGATTTCCCCGCAGTGTTTATTATCGACGCGAGGATAAAATGATAAGGAGAGGGAGACAAAAAATTTGTTTATACTAAACTATCAAGAAGTTAATGATTTTTAAAGGCCTCTATTTTACTGCATGCCCTTATCAGTGCATATACAAGTAATCATTCCTATTGATCGATAAGAATTAATCGGCTCATTTTATCGTGTTTGAAATCCCAATGAGACAACAATGACAACAAGGATAACAACGATAACGGCTACAATAGCAACAACAACGACGACAACGATAATAATAATAATAATAATAATAATAATAATAATAATAATAATAATAATAATAATAACAGCTAAAACAATCACGGCAACAACTGCCAACAGCAATGCTAGACAAGAACGGTAACAGCCGAGACCTTCGGGGGTTACGCTCGAGGTAGTGCAAGATAGCAAACTCGCGGGCACTTTAATTGGCAACCGCCAAAATGCCTTACCTTCGTGTGCAGGACTGCCAGCGACTTATTGACATTTTCGATTTTGTGTACGCGCATCCGGCCATTGTTGGGCTTGGCCAGGCGCTCGCCCGAAATAATCTCCAATAGCTTCAGTAGCTTTTTCCCATCGGCCAGGTCCGTAAATAAGTCCTCCAGCTCCATGCGAGCCTGCACAGTAGTAAAAAAACCAGGAGATTCGTTAAAAAAAAAAAAAAAAAAAAAAGAGAGGTCGAAAGGTCGAACGACCAACGGCACCGAGAATCCACGTGACGTAAAGACAGAGGAGACGCGATCGTTTAGCCGCTTCGTTCATCTGTCATCTTTCGGACTTTTCAATAAACTCCTCTCTCTCTCTCTCTCTCTCTCTTTTATTGCAAAGGAACGCGCATTCCTTATCGCCCCAACTACCGATATCGCGATATTGGCGGTATTGTGCTACTGTAATTTCTATCAGTATGCGAAGATAAGAGACAGACGAGCGCGCGCGCGCACAGAGGACGTTTCTATTATTTGACGTTTTGCCCGATGTAACGATGCGCTGCTGAAATATCAGTCTCGTTTCTTATTGGAAGCGAACGAATCCCAAGAAATGTCACAAATAACCGCGGGTCTTCGGGAAGCAGGTCGATAAAAGATAAACAAAACTAAAAAAAAAATTAAAATTTAGAAGAAAAAAAAAATAAAAAATAAAAACAAGCCCGTCCAAATAGACGTAATAGTTAATGATTTTAATGGCAGTAAGCCGTACTTTCGAAGCCAACTGAAACGCTGTATTGTGCTTACGTCGCTCTCGTATGATTGTCGAGAATGTTATCTATCATTATGAATTGAAAAATTCCGCAAATCGTGAGAAAATGGAATATGTATGGAAAATTAGAATTAAAGATGCCCAAGCAACGGAAGGCTTAGGAATGTTGTTAGAGAATGCGAGCTTACGAGAATTTAACGCGTGCGATTGCAATCGAGCGGATAATTTTTAGATAACGTATAATTATCGTTCGAGATTGGCGTACAATACATTCGTAAGAATATGTACATTGACGAGGACTCATGAAGCGTAGTGCTGTACACCTTGTAAGCGACATGGCACTTTGTTGACGAAATTTGTTGAAGGAATGATCAGCACCGATCGAGTACTCGATTGGCGAGGGAGTGCAGAATAGAAAAAGAGCTCACCTTGAGTAGAAACGAGTTGATCCATTTCGTAAAGGTCTTTTTCTGGATAAGGAGCCGCTCTTCTTGCAAGGACTTGATACGGCTCTGCTCGAACTTGAGAGCATCCTCCCTCTGCGTCATTCTCCTATGTGTCCGTGGCACGTCTCTGTATCTGTCAAGTCCCGACGGTGAACAAGTTGTAGACGAGGAGTAATTAAAACGGTGTGACCTTGTGTGAGGTTCGGCGCTTGGCCCAGCGCCGGGCTCATACTGTGCTCCTGTGGTGGTGAAGGCCCGATCGAGAAGAAAAAAAATGAACGAGCCAGGCATTATTAAATTGCTGACAAGTTACACATGGCTTCTGTTATGCGGCGAGCGGGGGAGGGAGGGAGTGAGAGAGTGAGTGAGAGAGAGAGAGAGAGAGAGAGAGAGAGTGAGAGAGAATAAACGAGCGAGCGGGTGAGCGAGTGGGAACGATGGCAGAGAGTAGCGCGGGAGGGAGAGAGTGAGCGGGAGCAAGAGGTGCGGAGAGAGAAAGAATAGTTGAACGACCCGAGACCTTAGCTCTTACGAGAGTTAAGAGAGCTAAGTGGGTTGAGTGAAAGTTCCAAACAATTTCGGTCGATGCGTTCTTGTATTTTACGAGGATTTTTCTTTAGCGACCAAAATGAACAAACGTGTACGCGTGCAAACGTACATAGTACGTACGTACGTACGTACCAACAAGCAAATGCACGCATGAGTGTACATGCATGGAGCCGCTTAATGGAAACTAACGATATTTCTTCGTCGAATCACGACGACGTCGTGTGCCTCAAATTGCATACTTTCTTCCGACTATTCTAAATTCAAAAAATTGCTCGCCCCAAAGTATGTCAGGAAAGAGGGATTCTCGTTAGGATACATACACACGCGCACGCGCAAACACACGCACACACACACATATATAGGGAGAGAGAGAGAGAGAGAGAGAGAGAGAGAGAGAGAAATAATAATCATGAAAGCCATCCTATTTGCCGAAATAAATATACGTACCGCGTTTCTTAACATTCATGTAAACGGTGTATCGAGAGACGCTGCGCAATGTGCGCTTATTCCCTCTTTTCGTGGACTTTTTCGCTCTACGTTTTTAAGTGCACGAACGAGAGTAACGAGGAATGTGGAGTACCCGTAGATAAGGTTATATCTATACGAGGAAATAACGTATCGTCGCTTCGGTTTGTGGCGAAACACTAAAAAGACTACCGAGACTACTAAGCGGCAGAATATCTAATTCCTCTCGGCGCGCGCGCGCCGGTATAATTTAACATTAAGAGAAGAGCGAGCAACGGTAATTTCTCTATTATATTAATTACTGCTTTAATGAGTGGTTAAAAATCCGATTAGATAAGAGAGCACCGACTGACTTCGACCTACACCACGGCAATAAATTTTCCGCCTCCGTACAGAATCTAACATCAGCGGCATTGGAATTCGTGGCGCGCGCCCAATTTCGCCGGGGGAATTTATTAAATAAATAAGCCTTGCGATTCATAACGCACAGGCGCCAGCAGCCTCTTTCCCAAATATGCCGCGCACGATGTATAGTACGTGCGAGACGTTCCAGCCACGCCCGCATCGCACAGCGACACGCACCTCGTTCGCTCATTCAAAAATATTCCTATTTCACGTATGGAGTTGAGCCGGGTATGTGGGTGTGTGAGGATTGGGGGGAGGGGGATCAAGGCTCCTTTAAATGCCGATTTTTAAATTCGCGCTTTCCCCGCGTCTCGGTAGCAGTCGAGCCGTGTACTGTTGATGTCCGAGGAACAGGAGGGGGCCAGATTTTTGCCAGATAGGAGCGACTTACAGTGGCGATAACAATCTATTCGACACAATGCGCGAGTGTGTGCGCGGCGAACAGGCTTACGAATTGCTCGAGTTCGTTTGCGCAAGCAATGGGCTCGATAATAATGCACCGATGATAACGAGTTCTGAAAATCGTACCTCCCCGCGTCCAAGTGCAAAAAATGTAATTAGTTGTTATGCTACGAACGAGCCGAGCCGATGGGCACTTCTTCTCACTCCTTTGACGCGCATCGATCGATCCTTCGGCACCATTTTCAATGTTACGTGATCCAAGATCACCAGGCAAATTGCCGTCGACCGGTAAAGATTCTTTTCCAATAATTCCTCGAAAAAACACCACGATTCAACTGATTATTAATAATGGAGGGAGGAGATAGTGGTTTCTGCCGTTTATGCGCATTCGTCTCGACTGTGCGCATCAAAAGCGCAACTGAAGAGACATGAACGAAGGGACAACGAGTAGGGCGCTTAAGTCGCCAACGGCTCAAAGTAAGCCGGCTATTTATTTATAATCCTCCCCGCCTCTTCTCCGCAGTAGCGCGATTGCGAAGCCTTTCCACCTTAACGATAAGCTGCTGCTAATCGAAGGCGCACGTGCTACAACGTGACAAAACAGCTGTACCTACGTCGTAACGCTTCGCCTCGTTAGCGCATCCGCGGCAACGCACGCACTCAAGGTCAGCGCGGCAAATCGAGATCCAGACAATTCGCGCGTTCTCTTCGTCCCAGAAAGTTGGTTAGGCACGCGGGTGGTAATAGAGGCTGAGTGAGTGTCTCGAGCATTGGCGGCAGCATCGGTGATTTTCCTCGAGCCAAGGATCGAGTCCATCGGACCGAACGCACTCTGGGACTTATCCAGTGCTCGACGACTTTCCGGCATCGGCTTACGTAAGCCTCGTTAACGAGGATGCCCCGAGTCGTTACGCCTCGAGGACGAGACGCAATGCCGATCTGCGTCGGAGCGTTGCCGCGGGCTCGCTAACGGCCACGGAGAAGAAACATTGCCGAGGCTGCGTGTGTGCGCGCGCAGCGCTCGATCGGGAATGCGCGATAAGAGAAGGAAAGTGGGAATTGTTATGATTTACTCACTCCGAGAGGCATTTAAAATGTGTTATAATTACTTTCCTTCGATGAAGTAATGGATGAGGCGAGTGCGGCTAATGGCCGTTTAAGCCGTTCCGCCTAAATTCTCTATCTCTCCCCCTCCCCTTGCTGCTCCTCTTCCCCCATATTACTCCCATCACAGCATCACCCACAATTAATGTAATACAATTGGTTTTTTAACGCGTGCGCCAAATTTCGTATAACTAAAACGAGAAGCGGCTCTGGGCATTGCCGTAGGAGACAGGATTTAATTACGTCAAGTGGTCGTTAGTTGGTAGGCCCTCGCGAGCTCAAGGCCAGACACGTCCTCGTTCCTTGGTGTCACCTAATTTAGGGAAATTGTTGTGTAAACCGGGAGGAGGACGATTCCATAGCCGTAACGTGCAGTGGTATCGCTGTATCGCGTCGTTGGCTTATTATCGGCGCATTTGCCTCTCACGGTACTTTTTAAGCACCGAGGAAGGGCGGAGCGAGAGAGGTTGTTGCTGCTGCCGCCGTTGCTGCTCGCTCAGGCTCATTGCTGTTCGCCACGGTGCCGGCGACTTTGCCCGTTCATAACGAGGCCCCCAAAACGGTGACTGGCTCTCCGGGAAAATGCACAAGCGCAAAAAGCAATTTTCCACGATCGCCTTCTCGCACGAGGCAGTCTGCCATTAAAATTCCTCTGTCCTGAAAGCCGCCCGAGCTCTTAGCGGCAATAAACTTCTTACGCTAATGTATTATCGATATTATCGGCCATTTTCAGCAGCCCGAGCGCTTTTCCGGCGGGAGAGCCGTCGAGACGAGCGGCCGACGACGGGAGGGGCGGGGGAAATGGCGCAAGACGAGCCGAGAATGCGCTTCTTACACGCTATTCCACCGAGCCCACCTCCGTACGGAGAAAGACTTTCTAATGGGTCCCGTACGCTACTTTTTATCTGCGATACTCTCCTATCCTCTCTTCAACCCGCTTCGAATCTCACCACCCTACCCCAACCCCCACCCACCGTTTCATCGATCGATTGCTCTCGTGTGCCTTTACGTTTGCGTAAACGTCTGGAAGAGCCTTTGCTGGTTATAAACATCGAATTGCAAACGAGTCTAAGGGGAATTAGCGCCTAGCGCTACCTCGTGTAAATATAAATAAAAGTCAGGGGCAGGCAGACTTATCTCGCTAGTCGTTGTTCAACTATTGGGTGCCACAATGTCACGTGCACGCGATAATTGCAAACATTAGTCCGTACGAATCTACAAATACGCTCGAATTTTCTTTGTCCTGCGCCACTTTGCACCAGCTGCTCTTTTACGGGCATTTTGGAACGAAAAGTAGAATTTTTATTACGAGCAATTAAATTGGCTTTGCCGGCTACACGGGATTGTGTCGTGGATAGATCGGAGTGGAAGGAGAACGGGAGGGAGGTGAAAAACGATGGGGTAGCTGAAGTAGATATAGGAGCTAAGACGTACAAGGACAACTCGGGCAAAATAAAGACAACTTATCCAACCTTCTTGCGTCGAGGCGAGTTATGAGCTTATTAAAAATATTTTGCTCTCTCTCCATCTCTCTCTCTCTCTCTCTCTCTCTCTCTCTCTCTCTCTGCCGGTGCATAAATCCTTAAAGTGCATTGATCGCTGACACTTTCATTTTTGCGCTTTCAAAACACATTTAATTGAAAAGCAATATTTAGAGGGACTTTCGATTTAACTGCCGAGTTTATTAAACATACATTTTTACGAGGAAGTAAATCAAATGCTATTTCATGCATTTTTCTACAACTGCCTTTTAAGAATTCCCTGTCACATAAAGGATATATATTGTGACGCGCGTGAGCCGTAATTCTGACATTTGTAAAATACTCGTCTTTGGGCCTGAAACTGCCGGGCCATGCTGGCCAACTGGCTGAAGAGAAGGCACCCACTCACTTGGGTCTTGTGGCAATGATTTACCCTCGGGGAACCCGTTTAGTGCCCATTTCCATTAATCTATTGACAATCTGCGCTTTAATCGTGCGACGAAGATCGATAGTCAATAGAAGTTGATATCCACTCTTGTCTAAGGCTAATTTTTTTCCAATCTTAAATGGCAATATTTCTCCTCCGTTTTGCCTAATATCACTTGAGAAAAAAACAAATAGATAAATAAATATATACAAACGTAAAAGTAATAAAACTATATGGAAACAAATAAATAATAAGAATAAAAAAGAATCAAAATAAAAGTTTAAAGAAAACTCGGAGGCGCCATGATGATTCTATTGAACCATTGACGATGATGATTATTTGCAGATTTATTAAGCTGGTTAATTGTAAAATAATAATATTTTTAATTAGGCGAGGGAGGGAAAGGGAAAAAATTAATTTTCTCTCGATCGATGTCCCATGCAAAATGTCGTTTCTAAGAAGAGTGTTTTTTTTATATCTTCGATAAAATCTCATTTTACGTTTCGAATAACCGTGGGTGCAAGATTAAAAATCATGCTAATTGAGATATGAATATTGCATTGAACGATATGCCACGACACCTAACCAAACACATTTAATCTATCGGACTTGGCTGACTTTTTGTTTATTTATATTTATTATTTATTTATTCAGAGATCGATAAAATATAAAAATGAGAGAGAGAGAGAGAGAGAGAGAAAACCTATTATTGAGCATCGCTATTATCAAGACGGCCTACTACTACGTCAATAATATCGCGAAACTAGGCTCTTGGCAAAAATTTTAAATTATAATACAAATACTCATTGGCGCGCAATTTAATGACATATGGGTCATTGTGACGTGTATAAAGTATTTCGGTGTCCAGACTGGAACGCGTTATTTCCATGTGTCATGGTATAGAGAAAAAGGAAAGCTAAAAACTCCCATGACTCGTGAATCTATGAGCACGTGTGTTGTGTGTTGAGCTATTCCAACATTGAATCCGTAAAGCCTTACACACGTGTGTCCTTGTCTGACATATAAATAAGTATTTTTCCAAGCCGTATATAAATTCTCCTTGTCTCATTTCACACACTGTATTTAATAATTGCATAAGTATTTTAGTTTAATTGCATATTGCAAGATTGTCAACAACTGTATCTTCAATTACGTTATAATTAAATTTACAGGGCGTTTTTAAATTTATAATACGCAATAAAAATGGAGGAGACACTGGGCCGTGCTTTCGAGGATGGTTAATTCGTGCCCGCAATATCC